ACTAAAAAATAGAGATCCAACACTATCATCATTCCTAGTATTGAATTGAATTTCATTATAAACCAATATAAGACTAAAAAATAGATATCCAATACTACCATCATTCCTAGTATTGAATTGAATTTCTTTTGTTAGCATTAGTATTAATTTGAACTTTGCTTGAGTTACTACATTATAGGTAATAAAATTTATTTACCATTCAAGAATGTTAAGTCTAAATTTGAAATAATATGTTAAAAGAAAACTGTGAAAAAATTTAAGAAATATTTATAAATTACATTATAATAAATATTTATAAGTATAAAAGCTTTTAAAAATTGTATAAATATACAATCGGGTTGATTTAATTTCAGTCTGACCTTTTTTTAGTTAAAATCAAACCATTTATTGTCAGATTTTTTTTCTAATACCAAAACAAATCAAAATAAATCACAAATTTGGATTTTTTTTTGGTTTGACTCGGGTTATCGGTTTGGTGCGATTTAACAGTTTTCTTTGTATACCCCTACTTAGCTCCATGGATCTTGGAGCTTATGCTTGTTCCAACATGAGACTTCTCTTTACAGATGCTCGGGATATTGTTTGACCAAAAAATATTAATTTTGGCTTAACCAATTAGATTTACACAAAGAAGGGTTAATCTCGGTTAAAAATAATATTCAAAAGAAAAAGCTACCGGTGTCAATGCAAAATAACTAGTATATTCGATCTTTATGGTAAGGAATATGAGCAATGATAGCAGTATTCAATGATCCAAAAAGATGGAGTATGACATTAAATAATAATAAATAGCAATAAATAAAATCTGCCATATAGGTTCTTATACGTGCAAAGAAAGAAATAGATCTTGGGGTTTGTGAGGTCAGAGGCTCACGTTAGCAGCAGATCTAAAGGAGACTAAAGATTAACTAAGAAATTTCCACAGATGGCGTCAAACTATTTGACCAAAAAATATTGATTCTGGCTTAACCAATTAGTTACATAAAGAAGGATTAATCTCAGCTAAAAATAATATCCAAAAGAAAAAGCTATCGGTGTCAATGCAAAATAACTAGTAGATTCGGTCTATATGGTAAGGAATATGAGCAATAATAGCAGTATTCAATGATCCAAAAAGACGGAATATGGCATTAAATAGTACAGTAATAAATAATAATAAATGACACTTAGGCAAATAAAACGTGTGAGTCACCCGAAAAGGGATGGATCAGTGGTTATTTTTTTCTAACAATGATCAGTGGTTGTTAACACTTGGGTTGTTCTTAGATCTGGTGGAAATGCTAGAAAAGACTTTTGGTAAAAAGGTAGTATTTATATATATGCGATAAGACTAGATGAAACATTGCCTAAAAAGTCACAAAAATAGCTTTTTCTATCTAGGCTCTCGGCGCACGTTATGCTAACGTACGTCGTCTGAGAAGCAGCCATGGAGAGAAAGCGCGGACGACCTAAACGAGAGCCACTCGTGACGGTCGGAGAAGCCATAAGTGCTGCGGTAATCGCAAATACACTAGCTACAAGATGTATTCAACAAATAACCACCCCAATTGGAAGCCAATTTCAACCTAGTGTTCAGAAACTAGGTTCTCCGAGCAATACTAAGGGACCAGCAAAAAGACTAAATCTCAGTGCAATTCAGATGAATGTGACTTCGTCGTCATGCGAAGGCACGCCAGTAAGTGTAGAAGTGGGAAATATGAAGGACAAAGGAGAAATAGTAGGAGCTGAGCTGGAATCCAATGAAACAGTAACAGAAGAGGTGATTGCTGCGCCAAAGCCACATGCAGAGGCTCCGATGCAGGGAAAATCATGGGCAAACTTGTTTGCTGGCAACAGATCTTCAGAAAATGGTATGGTATTATCGTATATTCCACCAAAAATAGTAGATGGTAATATTGTGGTCAAGTTAGATAAGGATGAAGTTGATGCTCAAAATAAAAAGTGGGAGTGTGCCCTAATTATCTATGTAATTGCGGATACCCCAAGGTATAAATCTATGGAGAGGTACATAGCTCAAACTTGGAGTCGTGTGGTAATTCCAGATCTGTACTTACATGAAGAAGGCTATTACATAGATAAGTTTAATACGCCTGGTGATTTGAAAGACATTCTCTATGGAGGTCCATATACAATCAATGGAAGACCAATGATCTTAAAACAATGGACTCCAGATTTCGATCTTAAGGTAGTGTTTCTGACTGAGATACCTTTGTGGATTACTTTTCCTAAGCTTCCAATGAGCTACTGGGGAAACAAGACTTTGAATCAATTGGCTAGTGCCATTGGAAAGCCTTTGTTTGCAGATGAACGCACAACAAAGCAGACTCGTATTTCTTATGCTAGGATTCTAGTGGAAGCTAATGTCACAAAAAAACTTCAAACAGAATTGACATTGCAAGAGCCTTCAGGGAAAAAGTTTCAGCAACAAGTGGAGTATGAATGGAAACCACACTACTGCACATAGTGTCTGAAGATTGGGCATGACTGTGCATTGAATAAGAGAATACATAAGGAAGAGCAGCCTCAAGTAAGAAGAAAACAAGGTAAAGTTACTATGAGATGGCAAGTTAAAGGGCATGGACAACATCAGCCAGCAGATCCAAACGATGGAACAAGCAAATCACTGGTAAAGGAAACTACTACTGCTCTAACAGATGCTGAAATTACTGGGAATCCAGCAGTGACTAAGGATAAGAGAAAACAATTGAAAGACAAAGCAATGAACAGGTGGAAGAATGGCCTGTGCTCACAAGCAACAGAAGGTTGGTGGCAGGAACAACATCAGTACCAATTCAGAATGGATTTCAGATCTTACAAAGTGAAGAAGAGAGTAAGGAGAACCCTATGCCACCTGATAGGGGGGTGGAATTGTCATACAGCAATGACTTGGCTAATTTAGAATATTAGGGGATTGAATAAGAGGTATAAACAAAAAGAAATAAAGCAGTACATAAAGGATAAACATATCAAGTTGGCTGGTATAGTTGAAACAAAGGTGAAAGAAGCTAAAGTAGGAAAGGTGCTTAGTAAAATAACACCTGGATAGAACATGCTGACTAATTATAAATATGCTGTGAATGGAAGGGCGTGGATTGTATGGGATAATCAAATGTATGTAGTGCAACCAATTGAAAAACAAGACCAGACATAATGGGATGCAATGTTACCTCACAGTGGTTTATGGACAGAATACTGCTGATCAAAGGAAGAAACTATGGCAACATATATAAAAAAAAAATTACAAAAGCTACTACAGGACCTTGGATGTTAGGGGGAGATTTCATTGCAATACTTATACCTCAAGATAGAATATTTAAGGTACCTATGAGTAATGCTGACATAAAGGAAATTGCTGAATTGTGCCATGATATATGCATTACAGAGCTGCCATGGAGAGGGGATTATTTTACATGGACTAACAAGCAGCAGGGTGAAGACAGAGTGTGGAGTCGTATAGATAGGGTGTTTGGGATGATGAATGGATGATAAATTATGGTCATCTAATCACTGAATATGGGGAGCCTTATATCTCATATCACAATCCCATGTGTATCAATATAAGGCAACCCAAGATTCACACCAAATGCCTTTTCAGATTTTTTAATGTGTGGACCAATCATCCAGATTTTAATCTGATAGTTGTTGAAAGCTGGAACAGGAACAAGGCAACAGGAAAAATGAAAAACATCTACTCAAGCTCAAAGAGATGAAAAGTTAGTTTAGACATTTAAATGCAACTGAATTTAGAGGAGTATCTGAAAAGATTAAACAAGCTAGACAAGATGTGCTTTACATACAAAGCCAGATGCAAACAAACTACACGGATCTGTTACAAGACCAGGAGAAAGAATGGTTACATAAGTTGGAAACATGGTCATTGGTGGAAGAAGGAATACTACAGCAAAAGGCTCGAGCTAATTAGATCAAATTGGGAGGTTCCAACAACAAGTTCTTTTCTGCAGTCATCAAGGAGAGACAGCACAAGAAGCAAATCACAGAATTACAAGCATTATCAGGTAGCCCTATAACAGAAATATCTCGGACTATCAAGGAGGAGATAATTAACTTTTATAAAAGCTTGATGGAACCAGTGCACATGTCCTAACTGCTGTTAATATGTTGGTGATGAGAAATGGGCCAACCTTAACACATCCGCAGTAGCAAGATTTGAATGCAGAAGTAACTGATCAAGAGATATATGAGGGGATGAAGGGTATAGGAAGTGATAAAGCACCTGGCATAGATGGTTACAATGCAGAATTTTTCAAGAAAGCTTGGCCAGTGATCAAAAAAGAGGTATATGCAGCAGTGAAAGAATTCTTTCATACAGGGCTGATGTTTTCAGCAATCAATTGCACTACCATTACTCTGTTGCCTAAAATCCCTAATCCTGTGACAATCAAGGACTTTAGACCTGTTTTAAACAATTCTCAGCAGCCTATGGATTACAAGCCAATCTTAATAAGAGTGCCATTTATTTTGGTGGTGTGACACAGACAGAAAAGGAAAAAAATTCTGTAAGATACTGGCTACTCCCTAGGGGAACTACCTTTTAAATACTTGGGAATTCCTCTGGACACAAAGAAGTTAACTGCTATGCAATGGCAACCACTGATCGAGAAAATAGTAGCAAGAATCTCCTCTTGGACTGTTCGGAAGCTGTCTTATGCTGGTAGAGTGCAGTTAGTACAGACAATGATTTTTGGCATTCAATCCTATTAGGCTCAAGTGTTCATCTTGCCAGCTAAAGTGATGAAACTGATAGAGGCATATTGTAGAAGCTACATCTGAATTGGTACCAATACAATAACAAAGAGAGCATTGATAACTTGGGAGAAAATGCGTCTACCTAAATCAGCAGGAGGCTATAACATAATGAATCTCCAAGTGTGGAACAAGGCAACCATTACAAAACTCATTGGGATTTGGCACAAAAGAAAGATAAAGCTTGGATAAGATGGATCCACACATATTACATCAAGAGGCAAAATATGCTGGAAATGAATATACTTCAGCAGGCAAGTTGGATGCTGAGGAATATTATGGAAGCAAGGAAGACAATACAACAGTTTCCAGAAGTAAACCAAAGACAGAGTGCTATTAAGCAGATTTATCTAGGTCTACTGGGAAACCACAACAAAGTTGCATGGAGATCGTTGATGTTTCACAATGAAGCTAGACCTAAAGCAGTATTCACAATGTGGATCCAATGCCATGGAAGAATGCTCACAGCAGATAGGCTAACTAAATGGGGAATCCAAGTAAATCCAAGTTGCAGCTTATGTAATAATGTAGAAGAATCACATATGCATTTATTTGGTGAATGCAGCTTCTCTAGAGCAGTGTGGTGTAGATTACTGAAATGGCTACAAATGTGTAAAGCTTTAGTGATTCCTTGGACGCAGATGGTTACATGGGTGATTATACAAGCTAAAGGAAAGTCATGCAAAGCTAGAATAGTGAAAATGATATATGCTGAATACATTTATGGGATATGGAAGGAGAGAAACAGTAGAATTTTTGAAGAGAAATCAAAGAATGCAGAATAAATAGCTAGAGAAGTGGCATGCATATGCAACATTAGAGCACAAGGAATAGTAAGAGTAAAGATGCAGCAGCTCCAATTCCGAAGGCAAGAATAGAGATTGACCGGCAACAATTATATAATGTCCATTATGTACTGCTTACAGTATAGGTATAGCGTTAGAAAAATGAAAAGAATATAGCAAGTCGAGGATGACTTGGCTGATTCGTAATGACTTCTTTGGTTATTAATGAAAATATAATTACCAAAAAAAAAATATTGAGCAAAAAAAGAAAGATAAGACCAGATTCTCTCTATAAAGTCAATGTGTTCCTTACAAAATGAATATCCCCCTTCTATCATTGTGTCTCTTTTTATTTATAGGGAACATGTTCCTAGAAACCTTAATAGTACAAGTGTGAGAATATCCACTAGAATATTCTCTTTAATGTCCTATCTTGAAGCTAGCCGTTATAACTCTACCAAGGGTGTTCGACCTCGAACTCGATCTTTATTAACTCCTCGACCGCAACCTTCACTGTTCCTTGAACCACTTCGACACATGGGAGCTTGTGAATGCCTCCCTAGCTAATGCTATCATGACTTAATCATTTCAAAGAAATTTTTTGACCCATACAGTTAGTCCCTCTGCTTATTGAGGTCGATCTCGCGGGCGAGTTCGATGAGTGGATTATGTTATTGGTGGTCGAGCTTATCAAACGGCTTATACGGGTCATGGTGGTTGCGGCAGATAGGAAACGCAGCCCTCTATGAGCCGCATAATTCAATTCTTCGAGTTTCTCGGGTGATTTGATGGGGCTACCTTATCCAAGAGTTATAATAACGTCATGACATCATGCGTTATTATGATGCATGTTCCTGATGCATAGCTTCTTTTCGCGTGTTACCCTTGATTAGACCTACCGTTTTGATTTCGGTGCCATTTATGGTGAACCATTTTTTGTTTTGGTGTTGTGACTTTTATAAATAGGGATTCTTGGACCTGGCTTTGAAGTTTTATTCTTTTAATATTTCGAAGCATCAACCTTTCTCCCGCTTTCCTCTCCTTTGAATCTTCTTTCTTGGTTCCATTGACCTACACCATTTTTCACCCTCTCCTGTTTATTACTGTTACTACTTTAAATCATGTCAAACATGTCTTCTAATGTCGGCAAAGGGAGTCGTGTTGTTCCCTTGGCAATGGTGTTTCCACCCTAAGGGGAGAGCATTTTCGCCATTGTTGAGGATGAAGCTTTCCCGTTGGTAGAGGAGATAATCCCACGCAACTTTGAATCCAGGTCCAATTTTACCAAATTACCAGATGCTGCTTCTGGAGCTTTTCAATCAACGATGATACCTAGGGAGTTAGTGTAACTTAAGGCCAAATTTGTCCTTCCCAATCATGTTGAGTTGATCCCGCCGAAGGGGACACGGTACAGGTTCACTGCCCTATATTGCGCTCTTTAAGCCTACCCCTTCCAAATTTGCTATTCTTTCCCCCTCCTTCCGTTAGTGGAGGAGTTATGACGTCACTACGGCATTTTTCCTGCTGAGCTTGCGCCGTACGTTTATAAAATTATAAAGAAGCTGACTAAGTTGGCCGAATTGGGCGGGGTCGAACTAACGTTGTGGCACTTAGTACATCTATTCGCCCCTAGCTTTTATAGGGGAACAATGCTGAACCTTTGCTACCGGGGAGGCAAATGCTTGGTAGTGAAGATGGATGACAAGGCCAGTCGTCAATTCTGGTTTAACTATTTTTTTGTCAGAACCGAGGACGTTGTGGCCAATGTCATCGGCTTTCTTGAGGCTTGGAACTACACTCATAAGTACCTCGTTTCTTCTCTTTGTTTGTTTGGTTCTGGATTCTGATTTCTCACTTTCCTCTTTTGAAGCCAATAGCCATCTTCCTCCTTTGGTCGCTTACATCTCGAACTGGGTCGAGCGACTCATCCCCCATATTGTAGGAATCCGTGAGTGAAGGCATGCTGGTCCGATGGTAATGTTAGGTGCAGATACTGGATATATCTATACAGTTTGGAGGCAATGACAGAAATCATTGTATGTTTGAGGAATGGTATGATGAACCCATTAACCAGGAATACTACAAATCAATTTTTTGCAGTATGTTTGGAATATGAACACTGAATACCAACGCCAGATCTTTGAAATGCAACAACAAATTGCTGCACTGCAGAAGAAACTAAAAGAGGCGGAAGAAGAAAAAAATAAAATGGAAGAGAAATTTAAGTGGTTCGAGCAGAGAATAAAAATAAAATGGAAGAGAAATTTAAGTGGTTCGAGCAGAGAATAATGGGCGGTAATGACTAAACAAACACATGTATGTGTTGATTGTGGTATTTTATCTTTATGTTTTTCATGTCATGTATTTTCACTAGTTGAATCGAATTTAAATTATGTTAAGTTGCTATGTTTGTTTTGCCCAGTTTTACTATTAAAATAACAAAGAAACCGAGAAATAAAAACATAATGCACATATAATGCTAAACCATGGATAAAGTTGCTATTATTTACTGATTGTTATATGTACATAAAATAAAATAAAAACTTAATGTGTCCCACAACCTTTATGCTTTAAAGCAGCCGCTGGCCTTAGGCGCATCCCATCCCACCCGGCTACACTATCAGGATCATCCTCACCACGACGCCTCTTTATCGGAGGATGAGCTGCAACATGATCGTCAGTAAGGCTGGCAGGCTCGGTAGAAGGGGTCATCGGTGCAACAGTAACCTACAGAATAATGACATATTTTAGTATATGAAATATATATTAGTAATGTAGGGGTTGACTACATAAAAATAATTAAAATGTCTTACTATGGTCTCAGCGGGCTTCTGAATATAATCATCCGTCTCAGGCATGTCAGCGTCGCACCTAGTGGCCTCCGCGACTGGCGAGGAGGATGGCTTCAAAAAAATATATGCTTTAGATATTTATGACTAATCAATGAGATAAACACAAAATATAAGTAATAGTAATACAAACTAACCAAATCCTGTGGAAGATCCTCAGCATCCCTCTGTGGTGAGCCATAACTAATTCGGCGCCCACTATCCACATCTCGTACCGGACGAGCATCAACAACCGTCGATGCCTCTGGAGGGTCAGGAAAATACACATCCCAGTCATGTGAGGTAAAGGCCGTGCCCGCAATCGACAATGGAGCTGACGGGGTCACCTGCGAAGTCCCTAGAGTAAGCCCCAGGCTAAATGACGAGATATCAGTAGGATCAGGGTGGTCACCCGGCTAATCAACTCCAACATCCTCAACAGGTGCCTCAACGCCCCCTTGCTGGGGACCACCTCCTCGCCGAGCCCCACAACCTCGTGGGACACCCCTACCTCGTGGCACACCCCTGCCACGCCGACCACGTTCAGGCTGCACTACTAGCCCACGATGGTACTGCTCTGGCGCCATATAATCAGCCTCGTGTCCTAAGCGCTCATCATCTGGGCTCCCTGCAATGTTCGGGCAGCCAAATCTGTAACCTACCGGCCATAGTCGTGTAAAGAGGCTGCTCCCTCGCCGGTATGCTGCTGCATCTATAGTCCCAACTGGTGGAACAGATGTAGGCCAATAACCTGCACAACATGTAAAATATTAATTACGAAACGGTAATGTTAACGTTATAACTAAGTATACCAAATAACATACCAGCGCCTCATGCCTCCCGGCGTATGGAACGAACCGACCCCCAGCGCGATGAACAAGATTCCCAATGAAAAGTCGGGTAATGTTGCGGTACCAGCCCATATACGCATGCTCACCATTTATAAGATCGGGTGGAAGGGGTGGCGGAATCAGGTCACGCCGCTGGTCTCAAGTCTCGATCTGCAACTCTAGCCATGCCTCATATGCCTGGTCAACCCTCGAACGATTATCCTGCTGGTAATGTGTCCTAAGACAAGCGGGCGGTGGAGGTACAAGCTGCGGTCGACCAAATTAGCGAAGGACTCGCTCGGTGGTATGATGCTCGACAATATCGAGACACATCAACGGGACGGAAGAGCTCCAGATAAGTCGCCCGGTCGAGCAATCATCGGGCAAACCAGCTATTAACTCGTCGCTGTATGGCCTCCAAATGAACTATTACGTAAAAATAGGAATCCTGAGTATAAGCAAGACATATAAATCCAGGCCAAGTAAACTTAAGTATAGAATTATCTGCGCGGCCTCCAGCAAATCCAACAAATCGCTGCAATAGGGAGATTATGTCGAGCCTCGTACTCGCGTCCGTATCCCCGCCTATCAACCCACCTCCTAGCTAAAGGGAGAAACGGTGTAGGTGGTTCATCCTGAGCTATGGGTGGTAGAGGTGGTTGAAACTGCAGGAATCGCTCCCAGGCCCAAACCTAATATACAATTTGGACGTAAAATTTAAGGTATATTTTTATGATGTATGTTATAATGAAGAGAGTATTTGACTATATGTTTTCACCTGCAGCAATGGCATAAATACTGCAACGTCTCGCTGGGTGCCTATGCATGCCTGGCACATCTGCCTGTACAAGTAACCAAGAACAACAGCACCCCAGCTGTACTGATGTAAATCATCTAGCCACTCAAGATGATGAAGAAATTTCAAACTGACTAGGTTTCCCAAAGTGTTCGGGAACAATACGCCTCCAAACATAAGCAGCAGTAACAACCTCGTGTACCGGTTAATATGAAGATCCGGTGTATCATGAGTAATGTCAGCATGCATGGCCTCCAAATGCAGTCGGACGGGCGTTAACGCAAGACGACTAGCCCCAACCAATGCACCCTCATCCTCTGGCCGAAAATCGGTGAGCCGCTGCAACGTCTCCAGGTACTGTTCTCCCGTATAATCTCTCATGGCATGCGGCAAAGCAACAGGAAGTCCATCAACCGGCAGCCCATACAGAACCTCCACGTCCTGCAGCGTGATAGTGGTCTCGCCAATGGGCAAATGGAATGTGTGCGTTTCTGGTTGCCACCGCTCTATCAAAGTCGTGATCAACGACCAATCCAGCTGCAGCCGATTGATCTCAATGATCCTATAGAAACCCGTATCCTGCAGCGTCTGACTATACAAGGATGGAGCTGGCGGGTCTTAAGAAAGTCCCACATATCGTCTACTCTCCTAGAACGTAAAGTCTGGGCCAATAACTGCCCCTCCATATGTAGGAAGACTACGCTCGACCTGTAGCAATAGTAGCTCTAGGAGGCAGGTCCGGGATGCAATGGCGGAACCTCCATGACGACTACTGTAAATTGAACAAAATTAATTACATTATTTTTCTTTTTCATTGCTTAAATATATTGCAAGACCTTGAATATTAAATTTTATTCGATATTTTTACTATATTGTTAATTAGGTTGATACATTTTTAATATTATAATTTTATATTTTATATGTTACTTTAATATGTAAGTTTTATTACTTTATATGTTAGTTTTGTTATTTTATATGTTTGTTAGTTATTCACTTATTTTTTTTTTACTATACATGATTTAATTATTAAATATTCACATTTTGGTTCCGGATACAATATTTGAGGCCTAGTAGCACCAATGTATCCTGAATTCTTATGTTCGGGATGAGAAATTTTTTTCGATTTATCACTCAACAGGTCTGTTATTTTATATGTTAGTTTATTATTGTATATGTTAGTTTTATTATTTAATATGTTAGTTTTATTATTTTATATGTTTGTTTGTTTGTTTGTTACTGACTTATTTTTTACTATACTAAAATTAAATAATTAATTTTCATAACTATACAAGATTTAATTATTAAATATTCACATTTTGGCTCAGGACACAATATTTGAGGCCCACTAGCACCAATGTATCCTGAATTCTTATGTCCTTACGTTTGTTGACTATAATTGGAGATAGTTTATGTTTGAACTATCAGCTGTTTGACGTACTTTTGGGAATAAGAGATACTTAAATGATTAATTTCTATAACTACAAGGATACTATGCTAAAAGGCTCCACGAAGGGGGTTCAAAAATTATTTTTGTAGTTAGTGGAATTGAACCTATGACCTTGTGAAGGTTTTGAACCCCCTTGACCACAAAACTACACTTTTGAGTTGTGTTAAAGGGGGTTCAAAACTTAATATATAGAGGTAAAAAATAAATTTTGCCTTGTATATACAGTGTAATTTTTCGGCGAAGGGGAGGTGAACCCCCCTCCGCCCCCCTAAATCCGCCCCCGACTACAGGGAACTAAAGTAATAATTTATCTAGTTTACTAGTCTTTTAGCAAATAAATAATCTAAACCGGATAAAAATAACAAATCAATTTAATCACAAAACAATCACGAAAATACATATAGCACAGTAAAAAGTAAATAATTAATATTTCTTTTAACAACTAATAACAATTTCTCTATTTTACGAATTTTTTTAGCACATTAATACTATAGTCCGGATAAAATACAACAAATTAGTTAAATCGCAAAACAATCACAAAATAGCGTACAGCACATAAAAAACAACTAATATGCATTTTTTATACAAGTTTTAATAAAAACTAAGTCGGAATACCTCCATTTAAGATTTTTAGAAAATTAAAGATTTTGTGATTTGAAGCCGAAACAAACAACAATGTCCGAGATAATGCCTTAGCTAGCACGTGGGATCGAGAATCTTTACTGTTTGTGCGATGGGTGGGCTCCATTCAATTTTTTTGATTAAAAATGGAGGGGGGGAGGCTACGATGATTCTATTTTGGGGGAAGGTAGAAGACGATCTATATTATATATATAGCGTCTTTTGTAGCGTCTTAACAAAAGACAGCTATAGTTTCCCGCTTATAGCGTCTTTTAAAAAGACGCTATATATATTTTGGTCATTATGTTTTTCTTCCACATATTTTTGTTCTTTGAGTCCAAAAGAATCACATTTGGTTCGGCACTCTTGTTTAGCAGCTACCCTGAAATAGAAAGAAAACATCAAACCCTTATACGAAACATGAGCAGCTTTGACATGATCATTCAGTATGGGACATTTTCTACCATAGCAAAGAAAATATCCAAAATAAACTTTGTTACATACTAAGAGACGTGTTATAACTCTTTTAACATGCTGCGAAACATCTCCCAGAGATATTAACAAGCTTCAGAGATGTTGACAACAAAAAGAGTAACAGCAACATAAAGTTGTTTCTCTAGAACAAATTAAATCACCCACTACATACCTTGACTTCCATCAGGGAAGGGGTTAAAACAATCAATAGGACAATATTTGTTAGTACAATATATGCACATCTCTTGTGTCTGCAAATGCCATATCTGTAGTTGCTCCTCAATATTCCATGAAATTTGTTCTTTTCATAACTGTTTCAACTATTGAGGTTCTTGATACTAGCTACTATTGTAGATCGACATGAATTACAAGGAAATGTTGAACAAGAAGAGAAGCTTATAAGGTACTCCCGTAACGAGTCACTTGATTATGCAATATTCCTATCGCATTTTGACGAGGGAATGAATATTAATTGGGATAAAGCTGTAAGCATATAGTACTATATATGTAAAAGGTGCTTGCAGAAATAGCTAATGCAGGGAAGTAGATAGCTGTGTTACCCTAAAAAATTTGACAGCAGTAAGCTGTCCCATAGTAGGCGTGCATGCGGCAAATTATCATAATAGGTGTGGCTTATCTGCTCATCTTAGTAGTACCAGGAAAACAAGAGTTGCAGGAAATCTTTCTCAATGCACATATAGGACATAAAAGATTTACAACAAACAAAAACCTTCATGAGATACCAAGTTACCATAACATTAATTCGGTATGACATAAGGGTAAGCTCAAACGAGAAGATAGCAACTACTTACATAGAGAAGTTAAAGATTCATGATTACATGAGCAGCATATCCAAAACTCGATATAAGGCAACATTTCTAGCATCCAGAGACAGGAAACTACTAGAAGTCTAGTGATGGAAAGCTCACTCCTGGAAGATAATCGCACAATTGGAGGAGGATCTTGGGCAACCTAACAACTTCTCTGCCAATCGAAATAAATATCGGGACACGCAGTTCATCGAACATATCTCGCACCTTCTTCTCTTTAATTTGATAACGAACTTCTCCAAAACCGATGCATTCTTTAACAAAAATTCTGAAAGTTTGAAAAGCTTCTTGACATAGTCCCATTTGACATAATACTTCAAGCACAACCCGGAGGAGATGGCAAGCTTAACATTCTTGAGGTTGGGAAATGCAAAGCTTGATAACCCATTCTGCAAATCAATATCATCTCCTTCGGCCAAATATATTAACTCAAAGCGGCAGCGGGAATTTTCAGGCTGGAGAAAGATAATCAGAACCAAATAAAGGTCAGCCTAATGGAAATTGCGCAACAGTGAAAAAATATGATTTCCCAGTAGATGTGTCTGACACATAATGATATAAGAAACAACAAATTTAACGGTACTTGGGAATGATTATAATTGCTAACCATATCATAAAGATTCATGGCGGAGGTAACCCAAGAAAAGATTGATAGTGCAATAATCCTTTTCATTTCAGAGCTCATTTGCCATACAAATTAAACTTTTTCATATGCAACTCCAGCGCTAGATATTTGCATTTCCATTCTGGAACCGGCACTCCTTTGAACTGCAACATGCACAGGACCTGGTGCAAAATCCCAATGGAAGTAGTAAAGACCGGAGAAAGCAATAACAACAAAAAGAAAGTACTTCGCAGCAGAGGGTTAAGTGTATAGCTTTTGCCGGTATGATACAAGAAGTACCGGACTTTGAAAAGTTGACAAAAGAATAGCAAAAGGGCACAAAAGGACACAAATATCCGTAATTTACTCTAGCTGCTTTTATGAAATTTGGGCAAAGGTTCTCAATTGTATAATGTTTACATTCTGCAACTGTCTGTTAAAGATAGATCAGAGAAGCTAAGGACTTATGAGTTAAAAACATACCTCCGTGAACCAACTTCCCATTGTTACCTCGGTTGCACAACTCAACTTTTGAAGATAATCTTGGACAAGGTTCCTAAAAACTTGATGATAGTCACCACAACTATCTTCCGCATCATCAAATTCTTCGGCATTAATAGCGAAGACGTCTTTGATACATATAATATTGAAAGTAAGCTTAGCACTAACCAAGGAGGACACATCCACAAGCCTACACTTGAGGTCATAAAGCTCTCCTGAAATCTCCAGATGCTGAAGATAGGGGGCAATAATTTCCAAGGAATGATCTCTTCCATCATCAAGCAACGTATAATTTTTCAGCTTCAGTCTCTTCAATTTTGAAGACCTAATGTCGAGGCGACTAAACTCCCAAACACAATATAGTTCCATAGTTTCCAAAGCAGGACAACCTGAGAGTAAGTTCACAATATGTTCATCCCATAAGCCCAAAAACTCCAAGTGTATGCTCTTCAGAGACTTCCACGATACGACGATGTCAGGACCTAAGCAACAACTAGAAAATACTAAAGATATCAAAGACGAACAGGCGCAGAAAGATTCAGGCAACGTGCAACAGCCATCCTCAACATTTGAATATAATTCAACAGCTTCCACATTTTTTTCAACAGCAAAAGTAAGCCATCTGCAGATTTGCGAGTCGTGTACTACATGACCTCCTTCCGAAGAGTAATACCGATCCGGGTGAGTGCAGTTGAGGGCAAACTTTTTAATTTTGGAAGAAACGGAATGATGTAATACATAGTCAATAAAGGATGCGAATTCTTCTGTCATCCCCCCGATGTAATTTCTACGATTGAAATTGAAGTTACAAGCAAAAGTCCAGAGATAGTGCCACCTTTTTGAGAGAATAAATGTTCTGAATGCGTCTTTTGTCCGCAAAAGAGAGAGAATTTGAACAAGGAGTGGGTCGGGCAGCTCACTGAGTCGGTCTAGGGTTTCTTCAATGTCAGTCTCTTTCTGTTTCTTCGACGGTGGAGGATTTCCCAAATTACTACTACTACATGTAAAGCCGTCATCTTTGCTGGAAGAAGCCATGATTTTGGGTCCAAATGGATTTGGAACCCTCTCTACTGTAGAGTTGGAGCTGATGTTGGAATGAGTTACGAATTAGGAAAGTGGTCTTTTATGTCTATTAATTAATAGGAGTAGAAGGGCCACGTGTTGTTATTTTAGGAGAAGGGAGGCAACGTGGGCAGGTAAATTTTTTTCATTTTTCTTGGGTAAATCAAAACTTTCGTTACTAAACTGAAACTAGTAGTCGTACCTGCGATGCGCGATCAGTATTAAAATATATTAATTAAATTAAATTATAATCGGTTTGTTTGATCCTATTAAATTGTATTGCTTTAATAAAATTTAATTATCATCTTACTTGTCAACGATATACCAAATAATGAAATCTCTATTAAATCAAAGATACTTATATAGTTAGTGAATAACTTTTTTGTTCTATATTTTTTTTATTATATTAACCAATATTTAATATTCGCTTTCTTTTTGTAATATATGAGAAGATTTATAATTTATTACTATTGAAATATTTTTTTAGTTTAAATTTTATTCTATTATTCTTAATAATATTATCAAAATTTTAATGAACAAAATCTCTGTTAAACTAACGGGACTTATACATGTAGCGCATTGAATAACGTATTTGTTATGTATTTTTCTTTATTATATCATCTAACATTTAATATTATTTCATTGTTAATAGAAAGTTTTATTAGCATATTACTTTATTAAATATTTTTCTCTGAAAGTTTTTTTATGTCTTTATTTCGATTTATTTATTTTAAAATAATTTTAAAACTCAACTTGAAGCTAATCCCCATTTGAATTGGTAATTTATTATTTTTAATTATGTGTTTTTATTTTTAAAATTATTTTAAAACTCCAACTTGAAAATACATCCCGATTTGAATGGGTAGTTTTTCTTCTCTTTCTTTCGTTTTTTATAGCTAATTTTTTTTTTTGCTTTTTTATTTTTAAGATAATTTATAAACTCCAACTTGAAACTACTCCCTTCCAATTTGAATGGGTAGTTATTATTTTATATATTTATTTTTCATTTTTTAATTATATTTAGTTATAAGATATCATATCTTATTAATTTCAAATAAAGTAACCGATTAATATATATATATATATATATATATATGTTAGTTTTTATTTTATTTTATTATTTTCATTTTTTATATATATTTAAATTCAAAAATAATAACCAAATAACTTTTGTTCTATTTTTTCTTTATTATATTAGCCAATGTTTAGTATTCGCTTTCTTTTTGTAATATATGGGAAGATATATAATTTATTACTGATAAAATATTTTTTTTTTAAATTTTATTCTGTTGTTCTTAATAGTATTATCTAAATTTTAATGAATGAAATCTTTGTTAAACTGTTGGGACTTATACAGGGAGCGCATTGAATATATTTTTTGTTATGTATTTTTCTATATTATATCATCTAATATTTAATATTATTACATTTTTAATAGACAAATTTATTAGCATATTACTTTATTTAATATTTTTTCTCTGAAAGTATTTTAGTTTCTTTATTTTCGTTTTTTTATTTTAAAATAATGTTTAAAACTCCAATTTGAAACTACTCCCAACTTTGAATTGGTAATTCATTATTTTTTTAATTTTATTTTTTATTTTTAAAAATTATTTTAAACTCCCACTTGAAACTACTTCCCGATGTGAATGGGTAGTTTTTCTTCTCTTTATTCATTTTTTATAGCTATTTATTTTGCCTTTTATTTTAAAATAATTTAAAAACTCCAACTTGAAACTACTCCCACCAATTTCAATGGGTAGTTATTTTTTTATATATTTATTTTTTTGTTTTTTTTATATTTAATTATAAGATATCTATATTTATTAATCCAAATAAAGTAACTAATTAATATACATGTATATATATATATATAAAAGGTAGTATTCGCTTTCTTTTTGTAATATATGAGAAGATATATAATTTATTACTGATGAAATATATTTTTGTTTTAAATTTTATTCTGTTATTCTTAATAGTATTATCTAAATTTTAATGAATAAAATTTCGTTAAACTGTTGGGACTTATACAGGGAGAGCACTGAATAAATTTTTTGTTATGTATTTTTCTATATTATATCATCTAATATTTAGTATTATTATATTTTTAATAGATAAATTTATTAGCATATCACTTTATTTAATATTTTTTCCCTGAAAGTTTTTTAATTTCTTTATTTTCGTTTTTTTATTTTAAAATAATTTTTAAAACTCCAATTTGAAACTACTCCCAAATCTGAATTAGTAATTCATTATTTTTTTAATTTTATATTTTATTTTAAAACTCCAACTTGAAACTACTTCCCGATTTGAATGGGTAATTTTTCTTCTCTTTTTTCATTTTTTTAGCTTTTTTTTTTGCCTTTTATTTTAAAATAATATAAAAACTCCAACTTGAAACTACTCTCATCCAATTTGAATGGGTAGTTATTCTGTTGTTCTTAATAGTATTATCTAAATTTTAATGAATAAAATCTCTGTTAAACTGTTGGGACTTATACAGGGAGAGCATTGAATAAATTTTTTGTTATGTATTTTTCTATATTATATCATCTAATATCTAGTATTATTATATTTTTAATAGATAAATTTATTAGCATATTACTTTATTTAATATTTTTTCTCTGAAAGTTTTTTAATTTCTTTATTTTCGTTTTTTTTTATTTTAAAATAATTTTTAAAACTTCAATTTGAAACTACTCCCAAATTTGAATTAGTGATTCATTATTTTTTTAATTTCATTTTTTATTTTAAAATTATTTTAAAACTCCAACTTGAAACTACGTCCCGATTTGAATGGGTAGTTTTTCTTCTCTTTTTTCATTTTTTAGCTATTTTTTTTTTGCCTTTTATTTTAAAATTATTTAAAAACTCCAACTTGAAACTACTCCCACCCAATTTGAATGGGTAGTTATTTTTTTTTTAAATTTTTATTTTTCGTTTTTTATATTTAATTATAAGATATCTATATTTATTAATACAAATAAAGTAACCCATTAATATATACATACATATATACATATATATATATATATATATATGGTAGTTTTTTATTTTATTTTATTATTTTCGTTTATTATATCTATTTAAATTCAAAAATAATAACCAATAACTAATTATAAACTAAATAACTAATATGCCATGTGGCTTTTTTTTAGGTTGCCACCTGGCTTAAGGAGAGGGCTTTTTCTTCTCCTTTTAATAATACTAGTATTAGTACCCGCGCGATGCGCTGTTAATATATTCAAAATTAATGTTTTAGTATTTAAATTATCTTTTTCTTATTGAGGACATTTATTTCAAATACCCAACTAATATCATAGTATATAATTCTTCAGGAAGAGTCATTTCATAGGAAAGTCAGCTTGAAAGCAACGAACATATATGCATAATAACTTCTGAAGTATGAATATACTGTAAATTAAAGTATGGGCTGGCAACACATAATTCTTTACTTCTATACATTAAATAATCACAAATTTTCGGTACAAACCATAATAGATGGTACATCTTTTACTAAAAGTAAGAAAGGTTGTTGAAAGAAACTATCACCTTAATCAATAAACAGAAACATGAAACGATCGATATAATGAGTGAAATCTGACTGACTACATGCAATTTAGTGGCACCAAATCATTACAGAATCACAAAATTGGAACGAAAATAGGTTGTTCTCCTTTACTTGTCTTTTTCAACTCCTTTATGAGTTAAAGATGGGATGCAAAATCCCACCTTAAACTTACCCCATTAAACTTCAATGAAAGCACCATTCCTGCTGCTAATAGCATAGTAGCGTTCAAAAGTTCAATGAATAATATTTAATAATGTTGAACGGCAGAACATCTAAATAATGGTTAAAACATCTTTCCACATTATAAGTGATCAAATAATAGATGGCGCATCTTCTAGAAAGTCATATAAATAGTTCAATAAAATATAAATAGCTTGCTGAAAGAAAACTCAGACTGGAAGCGGCAAGTGCAAAAAAAGCAACAAAAATATTATATTCATCCAACGGGAAAACACCTGACAATCGGCAATATCAATGCCAACATCATATCCAATCTTTGCTTTATCCCATTTAATAAGATCATCTCCTTGGTTTGAACAGAAAGACATTTGAATATAAGATGCATTGACGACTTGTTTATTACCACCTAGATAAATTAACAGGTCGTACTGCCAAATAATATTGAGATACACAATAGGCAAGAACTACCTTCCCGCAAGCAAGATTAAGGACTGCATCCCCTCTTTTGGCATAAAGTTGAATCAAGACATTGTTGATCTAACATGCTAGAAAACCTTATTAGTAATGAACTATGCAGAAAAACTTTTCCCATGAATAAACTACACATACCCAATTGTTAAGTTTTTTTTAAATGAATGATAGGACTTGCTTCGCTCTCTTCAAGAGTTTGGTTAGTCCTCGCGCTGTAATGATCAACCAACTTCCTGGCAAAGATTTTTGTACTCTCATCTTCAAGAAAATGAGTGTCGCCTGACACCGGTTCAAACTTATATCAAAACGCAATAGAAAATCAATTGTAGCAAAACACTTTAGCAGCTAAAATAACAGTAAAATTCTCTAACTTTCAGGGTACTAATATAACGATGAAAACAAATGTTCTATAACCATACAATACAAATAGAATGTCAATAATCAAGTGAGATTTGTCTTACCGAAAAAATATGAGAAAAAATACCTTCTGGGTTGTGCTCTCAGAGTTAGACCCATTCTAAGTTTCAATCACTGCATTTTAACATGGTTAGTTTTAAGACCTTGGAATTAAAAAAAAATCTAAGCAATTCAGTCCATTTAAACATTTATAAAACCTCTTGCCAAGAAAAAGGAAGAAGAATTTTTCAAATAATACAAAAATATAAATTGAGAATAAGCAAAGAGAAAAAAGCAGAAAGAAAGATAGATTGGGATATAAGAATATAAATTGAGAATAAGCAAAGAAAAAAAAGCTAAAAGAAAGATAGTTTGGGGGCTTTGGCTTTAGGATCTCAGCGGTTTCAAGA